ACAGCTCTCCACCCGGCCCTGGCAGTCGCACACTTGCGCCCTGATGACGGTGACCTGGTCCTTGCCCTGGCGGTCGAAGAGCCGCAGGTAGACGCTGTACAGGTTCTGCTCCAGGGGCTCCGTCAGCCACAAGGCAACCGTGTCACCTGCATGGGATAGGTGACAAGCTTCACTTCACCACATTGGCTCATGTGGGACCACGTGCACCACCACCTCGAGTCTCCACATTACCTCCATTGCCAACCTCCACTGCCCAGCTGTCCCCAGAGCCGTGGCTCAGCTCAGCACGGAATGGCCCGGTGTTGGGGGGCAGGTCCCGGTCGGTGATGGTCAGCACCTGGGGCACAGGGCTGCGATTACAGATGATGATGTCACGGGGCTCAGGCTCAGGGCCGTGGTCATTGACATCCAGCAGGGTGAGGAGCAGTGTGCCGGTGCCTGTGGCAGGTGGCAATCCTGCAGGGAGAAGTGGGGCCGGTAAGGGACACTCTGCAGTGGGACTCCCATGCTGGCAGAAGGCTTTATGGGCAACGCAGGCACCACTCCCTGCCCTGGGGCTGAGCAGGACGCAGCCCCGTGATACCAGCAGCACATGTCCCTCATGTGGGACTGCAGCCTGATGGGAACGTGGAAACAAGGGCCCCTTTCACAGCCGCCGCACTCACCGTCATCCACAGCCAGCAGCACAGCCATGTAGGTGCTGTTCTTGGTGAACGGGGATTCACGGTCCAGCTGCTCCCGTGCTGTGATGAGGCCATTCTCAGGGTGCACGGCCAGCCAGCCTGCAGGGTCACTGCCCATCACGTACCTGTGGGCACAGCAGGTTGGTCCTGCAGGGCATGGCAATAGGGATCCCTCTCTGACCCCAACCCAGCCCTGCTCACTTGATGCGCTGCTGCTGGGCTCTGTCAGGGTCCTGGGCTGTATAGGAGGCGAGGTGCTGCCCCAGTGGCACATCCTCCAGCACCTGGGCCAGCCGCAGCGGTGGGTCAAAGACGGGCGCCTCGTTCACATCCTCCACACTGACCGTCACCGTGGCCGTGGCCGTGGGCAGCTTGATGGCGAAGGGAGCTTCATTGACCACGGCCACGTAGAGCACGAACTGCCGCTTGGCCTCATAGTCCAGACCCTGTGGGAGGGGACAGGATGGGCAGCACCACCCACGGCTGATGGCTGTGGTACAGGAACAAGTAGGGGACACGCACCTTGGCCGTGCGCAGGACGCCCTCATTGCTGGCAGGGTCAGTGGTGATGGCGAAGGCACCGCCCTCATTGCCACGCACGATGGAGTAGACAGCACGCCACGCTGGTGTCTGTGGCTCATCCAGGTCCGTGGTAGTCAACCGGGCCACCTCCAGCTCGGCCTCATTCTCTGGCACAGCCGCCTCATACTGTGGATTAAGAATGGTCAGCACAGAGCCCACAGCACCAGGCACACCCTGCCCACATCCCAGCCACGGTACCATTTTGGGGTCAAACTCAGGGGCGTTGTCATTGACATCCGTGATCTCAATCACAGCCAGTGCCGTCGTGGTCAGCCCCTGCCCGTCCAGGTCGGCCGCCTGCATGGTCAGCGTGTACTCCCGCACGCGCTGTGATGGACAGACAGACATCAGCACCCAGAGCCACACTGCCAGGGCTGCCCCGCAGGCACGGGTCTCACCTCCCGGTCGAGGCCGCTGGCGATGACGCTGAGGGTGCCGGTGGCGCGGTTGACAGTGAACATGTGGGGATGGGGCTCCCGCGGCTCCTGGCTGAGGATGGAGTAGGCGATGACACCGTTGTAGGTCTCCACATCATCGTCAGCATCCGTGGCGTTCACCTGCATCACCGAAGTGCCTGGGGGACAATGGGGGGTGTCTGTGTGAGTGGGGTGGGTATGGAGGACGGGGCACTCTCATCCCCGAGAGGGACGCATCATGCAGGATGCAGAGCTTCCCCATGCAGCACAGCCCTACCTGGCAGCGCGCCTTCAGGCACAGAGCCTCGGAACACCTCCTGTGTGAACTGGGGCTTGTTGTCATTCTGGTCCGTCACCGTCACTATGATCTCCATCGGCTCCTCCACGGGTTTGCCATTCTCAGACACAGCATGGGAGTAGAGCTGCAGGGCAGAGGGGTGAGTGTGGAAACAGCACAGCACCGGTGTGAACCCAGCGCCCCACAGCAGGGACCTACGTGGTACTTGTCAATGTGCTCCCGGTCCAGTGGCTGCGTCACCTTCATCCAGCCTGTCTCCTTCTCAATGGTGAAGATGCCCTCGGGGGGAGCATCTGCCCCCTGCCCAGTGATGCTGTAGAAAATCTTTGCCTCCCGGTCCCGGTTGGATTTGATCTGGGAGGAGATGCAGTGATGCAGGGCTGTGCCTCCCCACTGCAGGGTGAGCAGCTCCCCACACACCCCTCAGCCATGGTATCCCAAACTGGCTGTGAGATCACAGAATCACAGAATGGCCAGGGTTGGTAGGGACCTCAAGGATCATGAAACTCCAACCCCCCTGCCACATGCAGGGCCACCAACCTCCTCATTTAATGCTAGACCAGGCTGCCCAGGGCCCCATCCAATCTAGCCTTGAACACTTCCAGGGACGGGGCATCCACAATCTCTCTAGGCAGCCTGTTTCAGTACCTCACCACTCTCTCTGTAAAGAATTTCCCCCTGATGTCCAACCTCAATCTCCCCTCCCTCAACTTAAAACCATTTCCCCTTGTCCTGCTGTTATCTACCCTTTCAAAGAGTGGATTCCCCTCCCCTCTGTAGTCTCCCTTTAGGTATTGAAATGCAGATCTGTGCCCACGGCCAGCATTCCGTGCCTTCAGTGCACACAGCCATGCCCAGCCTTGAAATCCCACCCAGACCCCTGGGAGATGCACATGGTCACAGCATCATCAACACCTCGGGGGGGGCCCTCCATACCTGAACCAAGTTTTTGGGGAAGGGACCCCTCTCATTCTCAGGAACTTTGATGGGAGGGATCACCCAATCCCTCTTCTGCCTCCTCAGAGAGGTGTGAGCGTGGGGGACATCAGGGACCTCCTGCAGGAAGGGGAGCAGTGATGGAGCGGCCACACGCGGTGGGTTTGGGGACGGGGCTGCCGAGAGCGTTACCTGCAGGGAGCGCCCGCTCCGCACGGGGACCCGCGGGCTGCTGGCATCCCGGGGAGCCACGGGCAGCGCCCCGACGTGGGGCTCCTCGATGCCATACAGCACCGTGCCGCCTCCTAAGGTCGCTGCAAGAGGCAGAGGGTCAGGGGGCCGGGAGGGGACGCAGCCCACTGCCCCCAGGAGCCGTTCTCAGACCCACACGCCACCCGGACGCCCGCAGGGCTCCACGTGCTCGCAGCCCAGCTCCAGGGAGAGGGATTGGGAAGGTCAGGGCCGCTCCCAGCACGGGGGCGGGCAGCAGCAGGAGCGCGCCTTGGCTTTGTTGCGGAGATTACGGGAAATTCCTGGGCACGCAGAGCCCTGCCCCGCACCTCCCACCTCAGCGTGTCCCCGCCTCGGGGCTCCCAGCTCCGACCCCCCCCGGGCAGCGACTCCACCATCGCAGAGTCCCACACCTGCGGCCACACTGCAGCCCCGACCTCCAGCTCGGCAGTGCTGCGGGTTTAGGGGATTAGCAGCGCTAAGCTGCTCCGAGCACACTGCTGAGAGGCTGCCGGGGGAGATGGGAGTGGACGAGCAGAGCTGTGCCCGCGGGTCTCTGGGTGGGAGGAAATCCCTGGAGGGTCCCCTTATCCCCATACGGAGCTGGAGCCTGGAGAGAAGTGCTGGCGGCCCTTTATGGCGGACGATAAAGAAGATGCTGGGGCCGGAAAGGCCACAACCACACCACGGCTGGGACACGAGCCTCCGTGCCACAGGCAGCCCCCAGCCCTGGCTTCGGAGCTGCTCCCTGCAGAGGAGACGGGGCTGCAGCTGTGCTCCAGTACCAGCTCAGGGGATAGAGCCCCCCATTCTCGTACCCTCAGTGTTCTGGGGCACTGTGCCCCCCCACCCGCGGGGCTGTACCCCCAGCCCAGCCCTGCCCTGGTGCCAGTCCCACACCCGGCAGGAGCGGGGCCGTGGGCAGCGGCACGCAGCATCCGAACGGGCTGAGGTCAGGGCCTGGCACGAAGAGAGCACTTACAGCGAAGTGCTTTGAGTACTCCGCAGCCATTAGGCAGCGCTGGCTGCGGCCGCGGTTCCCGAGCAGCTCCGCTCCCCGGGGACGCCGACGAGTAAACACCGTGAGCAGCCCCACCGGCACCACGACGAGCCGCTGCCCCTCCCCACCTAGACCAGAGAACGGACCCCCGGGGCAGCCGCTCCCATCGCCCGTCCGCCACCGACCACCGACCCGAGGGGTCCCGGCGCCGCCCGGGAGCTCCCGGCCTCTCCCCTCTCCACGGCCGAACCGGAGACACCGACGGGACCCGAACGGCACCAGCAGCTCCCTCCCACTGCCCGGGGGATGCAGCCACCAAACGCCCGCCGAGGGTCGCCTCTCGGGGCGGAGAGCAGCCGGGAAAGGACCGCTCCCACTGCCCGGTGCCCTGAGCAGCCCCCGCCCCGCACCCCGACGGCATCGCCGGGCCCCATTTCCCCGGATCGGTGGGGGGGGCAAGACGGGAACTGCGCATCGCACCAAGAGGAACTCCGCCGCTCCTGGGGCAGCCTGCCCTACCCAGACGCGCGGTCCCGCACGGCGCGGCGGAACCCCGGCCCAACGATGCTCCCCGCGCCTCGACGGCACCGCTTACCGGGAGCCGGGAGCGATCCGCGGCGCGGCCCCGGGGGGGAGCACGGCCGAACCGGGGCGGCGGCGAGCAGCAAGAGGAGGAGGAGGAGGAGGAGGAGCGGGCAGAGCCCGGAGCGCGACCCGCACATGGCCCCGCCGCCACCGAGCGCCGCGCCGCGACCCGCCCGTTTCAACGCGCCGCTCCAGGTGAGGCCGCGGCCGCGCAGGTACCGCCCGCTCCGCCCCGCCCCGCCCCGCCCCCGCCCCGCACCCGCCCCGCATCTCCGGGAGCTCCGCCCGCTGCCGCCGCGCGCCCCCCGGTGCTTCCGTGCGGCCCCGTGAGAAGCGCCCCGGGACCCCCGGTGCCATTCGCAGTGCCCGTTTCTGGCACCCCCAGATCCTTTACCACGGGGCTGCGTGCGGTCGGTATGACCGGCAGGACCCGGCACTTGGCTGCGTTGGACCCCATCCCGTCGGCCTCTGCCCAGCGTCGTCCTCGAGCGGTGGGGCTCCTGCAGCCCAGTGCCTGTGTCCCAACCCCGGGCTGAGCGAGCGGCTCTGGCTGTTAAAGACAGACGCAAAGAAGGCACAGAGACCCTCACGCTTTCTTCAGCAACATCGTTCCCCGGTGCACCCAATGAAAGATGAGGGTTCGCCTCAGTCCTTTTGCAACCCAGTGCCCACGTGAGCTGTGCAGGGGCAGCGCTGCCAAGGTGAAAGTCCAGAACGGGAGCCGTGTTGGGTCAGCACTCAAACAAGTGCACAGCAGGGCTGAAGCCATGTCACCCCGAGCCTTCATCCTCTTCATCCTCCTCGTGCAGGTGGGACCCTCTGCATGGCGATGGAGGGCTGCAGGGAGAAGCAGCAGGGCTGGAACACAGCCCAGCTGCCATCCATCCTGCAGGACGCGGCGTTGAGTGTTCAGGTAGATGTGCTGACCTTCCCCAAGCACGACTCCGGCTTCCTCTGGAGGCAGAAGAGGGACTGGGTCATCCCCCCCATCAGCTGCCTCGAGAACCACCGGGGGCCCTACCCCATGAAGCTGGTGCAGGTACGGGGCTGAGGGCCGAGCCGCCCCCCGGCCAGGCTGAGCGCAGCATCACGGGGACGGGCACCGGCCCGCGGGTGTCCCCTCTCACCGCCCCGCCTCGCCGCCAGATCAAATCCAACAAGGACAAGGAGTCCAAGGTGTACTACAGCATCACGGGGCAGGGCGCGGACAGCCCGCCCGTGGGCATCTTCGTCATCGAGCGCGAGACGGGGTGGCTGGAGGTGACCGAGCAGCTGGACCGGGAGAAGATCGATCGCTACACCGTGAGTGGGGGCCGCGGGGCGGGCGGGGCGGTGCGGGGCCGTGCGGGCTGACGGTGCCCCCGCAGCTCTTCTCCCACGCCGTGTCGGCCAGCGGGCAGCCCGTGGAGGACCCCATGGAGATCATCATCACGGTGATGGACCAGAATGACAACAGGCCCGTGTTCATCAAGGAGGTCTTCGTCAGCTACATCAGGAGAACGCGAAGCC